AAGATGGGTTTTGAGCAGAAGGGTTTGCCCTCCCCCCGCCCCCAACCCTTTGTCTATCAAGCTGATGGAATTATTATATTTGTATTTTGATCTAGGAAATATTTGCCGCATGGTTACTCTGATCTTTGCATTTCTGACCTTGTATTTAACCTTTAATGATGGTTTGATCACGATGAGACCAACAAGCGACAGCGGTGGGGGCAATCAGACCCAGAACAGCGTCCAGAGAGATGCAAAATAACTTTTATGATTAAAAACACTGTTAGCTTACAGTAGCATGAGCCAAGCCTTACATTTTCTGATGTTTTTCTTCTGGCAATAAACATTGGCTGTAGCATTTGCTGTCGTGGGCGCCTTCGCCCACGGCTTCACTCTCTCTCTCTCTCTCTCTCTCTCTCTCGTGACCCCAGAGCTGAGCATGTGCGCCAAAAAGTGATTTCCGGTATTCGCCCAAAAAGTGATTGGCCTAATTTGTGTGAAAAATATATCGGACTTATTTCTCATGAATGATATCAAGACATTTTGAGCCAGAAAGAAGTTCCCCTTCACAAGGTAGAAGCTTGAATCAGGTTTTTTGGCAAAGTGACTGTTATATTTCCTTTATATATTCGAGTAAAAAGTCTCATTGACATTAAAAATGTCTTTTTCAAGAGAGATCTGGCAAAGAGGGCGTCAAGTATAACATCACAGTTCTTGAAACATACTGTAAGGGACCAAAAGGGAATGAAAAACCAGTTGTTTCTTTATTTATATATGACCCCTTCATACATCTCCAGTCTATTTACCGATATGAGTAAAGGTATTAGACATCAAAGAAACTCATGGAAACATCAGAAATAACTTTCTGGCTTTTGGCACAACACTGGTATCAGTTGAGCTACCATAAATAAGATAAAAGTGTAACCACAAATTTAAGTGCTGGGATAAATTTAACAAAGCATGCAGTGTATTTTACTGCTGTATGACAGTAGAGCTCGTGATCAACAAGTTTAATTTTCTCTTCGACGTTGCATTCCAGACGCATGCATTCCAGGTGTTTGATTTGCCAGCGTTACAGCTGTCCATGAGAACAAACACAGACATTGCCGTTGACCTGACGGCCTCAGTTCGTTTGTCTTCATCCACGTCTATGTCAGCGATCACAGCACAAGTTTTGCTTTGTAACCTTTCTGTCCTTTTTTGCCGTCTGTCAGATTGTATTAGGGCCATAGTAGCTCCCCTCCCTGCTATCAAGGCAAACCTTATCTTATCAAACCTAGGAAAGCACAGAACACAACCCAAACTAATGGTTTAACTAATATTTAAATGGACCACAATCACATTCCCAAAGCACATGTAGTAGACTCGATGCCTCTTTTTCCCTGCAAATTACGGGGTCAATTGGAATAGCTGTTTTGGTAAATGAGGGTTTGTCTTTTCTGAACAGGCCTTAAACGTTCCACCAAGAAGCAAAACAAAGGATAGCATAGCTGCCTGGCTGATGAAAGGATGTGGTTTATGGCAAAGATGAAGGAAAAAACAAAACAAAACAAAACAAAGGGAGCTGTAATTTTATACCTGTGCTTTGTAAATGTTTTCTATGTGCAGTATTTGATAATGTAAAACTGGTATTTTTGTGGTTTGTACGCTGCAAAATTGATTACTTAAGGTGCACGTAGTTTTGTAAGAAAATAGAACCAAACTGAGGAGAAAAGGAAAAAAAAACAATGGGATTCAGAAGCCTGTATTTGCATGCCCTTTGACATCTGGACGCAAAGTCAATAAAGTTTATTTGAATCACAGACATTCATTCTCCGTGTCTTCACTTTTCTAATGCAGGTCGTGCATTCTTTGTATCTTTGATGAATCTTTGTTCAAGTCACGTAAAAAGAGCTGCATTCTTTCCGATGGCCACCAGGGGGCACCTCCTCCCTATGGAAAAAGAAGTCAAACGTATAAAAGTCTATGAGGGGGAAAAAAAAACACCATTAATGACCTCAGCAAATACCTTTCTCTTGATTATATGGCCTCAGTTGCTGCTTTCACATATTTTTAATACAACGAGATGCTCATTTTATAAATTATGATCTCAATTAGATTAAAATGGACAAAGAAGTAGGCCACACAACAAAGCATATGAGTCAGCCACATATGAACATGTATGGCCACTAGTGGGCAGTAGAAACAAGCTTTATAGTATTACACAGTTGCACTTTTAGTTGATTTTGAGAGCCTACCACTTACTACTGTTTAAGTCATGCACATGCAGAGCAACATTAATGTGTCTATACTCAAACTACATTGAGCTTCGTGACCTTTGTGACCTGTACATGAGGCCAGAAAAAAATTACTAACAAACTTCCACAGTAGTAATAAACATCTGTGCAGCCACCCCTTCTTTTTTGTTGACAGCAGTCTAGCAGAATAGGCAATTTTCTGCAGAATGCAAACAATTCCTGCAGAAGAATCGTGTGAACAGGCATTTGCGTGGTTTAATAGTGTAAGAAATAATGAAAAGGGACTAAAGACAAAGCCCAGCAATGAACACAACCAACAAAACAACATAAAATTTAACCAAAACAATATTTATTTGCATGTTTTCACTGGGACAATTATCATATGTCACATATACGTTGTTAAATTTTATTGAAATTGTGTAAAGTGGGGCAAAGCATGTGGAAAAAACAAACAAACTAATATACAGAACATGTTGTTTAAGAAACATAATATACAG